ATGTGATCTTACACTATTGTTTGTAGCAAAAACAAATCCATTTAGACATAGTATACAGGAGACCTAGTCAATAATTGCTGTACTCATCCCCTCCAAATGGGTCCCCTTTCCTGAGGTGGAATTCATGTTATCAACCAGTTAACGGGCCCTACACTTGTCGCTTGCGATCTCCCCTAGTTCAATTTTTTATCGCCGGGGCCCGGCTTTGGGGGGGGGGGCGCCCTGAGAGGAACCCCCTCTTTCACCCTTTTTAACAAGAGGTGTTCCCGGGGGGGGCCCCTCCCCCTCCGAAAAAAAAAAAGTGTTCACATTTAACCCCCCCCCCCCCCCCCCCCCCCCCCCCCCCCCGGCAGCCGGGAGACAACGGTGGGGTTGCTACACATGGGAGCGCAGGCAGTTCGGGAAGCATGAACCGCCCAGTGTGTATGAGTATGACCAACAACGGCGGGGGGAGGGTGTGTGCAGGGGGATTAGAATGCGGCGTGAAAAAAAAAAAAGGGCGTGTAAGGCGTGGACACGACCGACGGCATTGGACAACCACGGTGGTTGACGACACACGGATGGACCGGATAACGGATGGGATGGGCTTTTTCGGTATGGACGGCCCTTGGTAAGGGCCTGGTGTAACGGACATGGCGGGCGCAACCTCACAGAGGCACCTGGCATGTTTTTTTCGCTTGGGGGCTCTACTATTATTTTTTCTGCCATATTTAAGTTTTAGCGAGCGATTGCTTTCGAATCACATTCCCGCAGGGAGTCCACGCAGCATCGCATGACGTTCCCGGATTCAACCATGACGACCATGTTACTCCTCCGCCTCGTTGCCCCGGGCCTTCCGGGGGCATGTTACCTCTGGTCTCTGTGCAGAAACTTAGGAAAAGTCATTATCCGAGGTTACCAGCAAACATACGACTGAGTAGTATTAGGAGCAGCAGCAGCAGCAGCAGCAGCAGCAACAGGGCGAGCGCCCGGCAGTGAAGGGTGAGACACGATGAGCAGCATGTCACGAAGCTTGTTCGTTGCACTGGCCATGCTCCATATCCATCTTGCGCGCACAGCCAGCCAGCCAGCCAGCCAGCCAGCCAGCCAGTCAGCCAGTCACGGTACAGCCGAGTACAATGCTTGCCAAGAGTCTCGAGAAAATCACAAGGGGACCCAGACGCAAACCTTATTCACAGCATCGCGGCGTCGGAGGAGCCTGTCAACGGCGCCCGAGCCACCCGCCCCTGGACGGTACTGTACATGTACTACAGTTACCCCAGAGCGCGCCTCGCGCCTCGCGGCGGAACTCACCGCACTACACATGCTCGAACCCTGGCAGAGCAGCTCAGTTGCCGACTTTCTGGCTCTCATCTATTTGCTCTCATCTCAGCATGATTTGGGTTGCTCGTGCTCCACCGGTCATGACCGAGACGTGCAAAGTCGGCACGTAAATAGTGACTTTTCGCGGCAGGACCCGAGTCTCGCATTTCCGTGCTACGGCTACAAGGCTAACAGGGCAAGCAACGTCATGACCATGGCTTTCTGTCTCTGTTTCCATCTCTGTCTCTTTCTTCCTGTCTCTCTCCCTTCGAGCCAGCTGCCGAAAGCACTGCGGTCTCTAGCTTCACCAGCCATACATTGGCAGACGTCCATGATTACCAAGAAGATCGGTGAGCGTGGCTGTGTCGCTCCTTGAACCTGGCATGGTACAGCATGGCATGGCATGGCATGGCATGGCATGGCATGGCATAAAGGTAGGTAGTAATAAAAGGGGGACGCATATTCCAACCGCTTGAAACCTTAGGCCTCTGGCGTCTTGGCGCTCACAGCGCGTTGAGGCGGACACGGTGGCGCGGATGCCATGTGCCTCGCTCACAGCGCAAAGCCAAAGACAAAGTAGAGTAGGAATGGTATGAGAAAGTTCAGGCAGAGCAACCTAGCCACAATGCCACAGGAAATGTGTCATCGTCTGCTTTAACATTTCAGCGCCAGGCAATGTAATAAGCTTCTCTGCTTCCCTGAAGGGGCTGCGTTGTCTCGGCGCGCGGTCAGTAGATTTGGGAGTGACATTGACGACCCTACCGCAAATGCCGGCTGTGCAGTGTTGCTTGTGCTTGTATGCGGTGCCTGAGTGTGGTGCGCTTGTGGTGCGCTTCTTCCTTCGCCCTATTTGTTCGTGTCCACGGCGGCTCGTCAGCTCGTACGAGTTGCTTTGCTGTTTACTGATGCGGTCATTTGCCATGCCCGAGGATCCAATCCGACAGCGAGGCTGACGAGACAGATGCTCACCTCATCCCGTCATCCACGGAATACCGTTAGTTTGTGCGCCGATTGACTGGCTGGTCGGAATTCAAGTTGGACCGCCTCACGGCCCTCACACCCCTGACTCGGTCTCGGGTTCCTCATCAGAACGCCAGCCCCTCCACCTAACCCCCCTTCCACGAGCCTACCCTGGAGACAATGGGTCGAAAAAGAATGCCGACTGCAGTGAAGGACCCCTGACTGGTCCGCCGCCAAGAATATTCCTGGCTTGGGCGTGGCGCCCTATTCTACTAAGAATCTCTCGGCACCCATCGTGTGCCACCCCCCCTTGCCCACCATGTCCGCTGACACAGGCGCCTGGCGTGTGCCATCGTACAGGGCTGTGCACTGCAGATTACTTGGCTGCCTGGCCTTGGGGGGGAGCGAGAGAGAGAGAAGGTGAGCAAGAAAGAGTGTGAGCGAACGAGAGAGAGAGAGAGAGAGAGAGAGAGAAAGAGATGAGGACAGAGAGACAGAGAGACATAGAGACAGAGACACAGAGAGCGAGAGAGCTGACGTTGACATCATTTCCTAGCCAGAGCTGCCCCCCCCCCCCCCATGGGGGGGATAGACCTGTCAACGCTGCGCCCCCGCGACGGCTTGCACAAGGCCGTGTCCGCGACCGACGAGGTCGGAGGAGATTTTCCCCTGTGGACCAGGACGAGGATGCCACGAGGCCTACGGGCGTGGAGGTTGTGGTTGGAGCTGCTGACGAGCCGGGAGTGGATCGAGCTGGGCTCTCAGGTTGCCATTCTCGGAGGGCGGGCGAACGATCGCTCCTGGAACTGGAGGTCTTATGTCGGGAACATTGGTAGAGATTGTTGACTGACCGCGTTGCATCTAAAATTGGGTTTTT